GACTATTCTGCTTTTTTGTTCATCAGTTGATGAATATCAGTTGTTTCTACCTCTTTTTAAACAGTAGGCTCTAGTCCAATATAATCTACTCTTTGACTGTTTTGGATAATGCTGCTATGAACATTCATATATAAGTTCTTGTGTGGATACGTTTTTATTTCTGTTGGGTAGATACCTAGGAGTTGAATTGCTGGGGCTTATGTTAGCTTTGTGTTTCACATTTTTAGAAACTGCCAAACTATCTTCCAAAATGACTGTCATTTTACTTCCTCATGAGCAATTTCTCCACATTTGTACCAACATTTGGTACCATCTATCTTTGATTACAGTCATTCTAGTAGGTATGAAGTATGATTTCTTTTTACGGTTTTTAGTGTACATTTCCCTAATGACTAATAGTGTTGAGTATCTTTTTATGTGCTTATTTGCCATTTATCCTCTTTGGAGAGAAATACCTATTTAAATACTTTGCCCATTTAAAAATTACATTTTCTTATTACTAAGTTGTAAGAGTTCTTTATATATTTGCGTATAAGTCTCTTATATATATGATTGGCAGATAATTTCTCTGATTCTGTGAGTTTTTTCATTCTCAGTAGTGCATCCACCTCCTACCCACAGGTGCCTTTTGAAATGATGTCTTTCTTTGTTGCCCAGACTGGAGTGATCCTCCTTAGTAACTGGGATTACAGGCTTGTACCACCACACTGAGCTTCAGTGGTGCCTTTTGAAGGGCAGAAAGTTTTAATTTTGGTGAAGTCCATTCATCATTTTTTTCCTTGCTTGGTTTATGCAAGTTTTCTGGATGATGTGAGGTAGGAGTCCAAATTTATTCTTTCTCACGTTTCCCACGTGGATAGCTAATTGTCCCAATATATGATTTTATTTTTTGAGACAGTGTCTCACTGTGTCATCCAGGCTGAATGGAGTGCAGTGGTGTGATATCAGCTTACTGTAATCCTTGCCTCCCAGACTCAAGTGATTCCCCCACCTCAGCCTACCAAGTAGCTGGGACCACTGGTGTGTACCACCATACCCAGCTCATTTTTGTGTTTTTTGTAGAGATGAACATTTTGCTGTGTTCCATAGGCTAGCCTCAAACTCCTGAGAGGAAGTGATCCTCCTGCTTTGCCCTCTCAAAGTGCTAGGAATACAGGCATGAGCCATAGTGCCCAGCCTGTGGTTTAGTTTTTATTGTAAACTTTTTTTGTTTCTTTCTTTGAAATGGAGTTTTGCTCCTGTTTCCCAGGCTGGAGTACAATGGTGTAATCTTGGCTCACTGAAACCTCTGCCTCCCGGGTTCAAGCAATTCTCCTCCCTCAGCCTCCCAAGTAGCTGGGACTTACAGGCACGCGCAACCACACCCAGCTAATTTTTGTATTTTTAGTAGAGACGGGGTTTCACCATGTTGGCCTGGATGGTCTTGATCTCCTGACCTTGTGATTTGCCCGCGTCGGCCTCCCAAAGTGCTGGGATTACAGGCATGAGCCACCATGCCCAGCCAAGGCCAGATATTTTGTCCATTTTGTTCACTGTTATATCTAGCACCTAGAATGGTGCTTGGCATATTACTTTGCTTAAATTTGTTAAATGAATGAGTAAAGCAAACATTGCAGTATTTTTCTACCTGTTTTGTAACTCTGTACTTATTTTGAGGGAATATTTTACTTTTGCTTTGTATTTCCAATTTTTTCAAATGCTTAATAGTTTAGTTTATATTTCTACTGCCAAAGGTTATACCCACCCAATTAAAAAAATATGAGGTCTCACTGTGTTTCTCAGGCTGGTCTCTAACTCCTGGAGTCAAGTGATACTCCCGTCTCGGCCTCCTAGAGTGCTGAGATTAGAGACATGAGCCAGCTGGCTAGATGTTCTTTCATTCCTTTCTTATTTTGAGGCAGGGTCTTATTCCCTTGTCCAGCCTGGAGTGCAGTGGCGCAATGATGGTTCACTGATACTGCTCAAGCGATGGTCCCTTCTCAGCCATTCGAATAGCTGGGACTGTGGGTGCATACCACCATACCTGGCTAACTTTTTTTGTAGAGACAGGGTTATGCCATGTTGCCCAGGCTGGTCTCAAACTCTTGGGCTCAAGTGATCCTCCTGGCTCAGTCTCCCAAAGTGCTGGGGTTAAAGCCATCATGACCAGCCCTTCCCCTTCCCCCTTTTTTCTCTTAGATCGTTCCTTCAGAATAAATCCTTTATCTTTCTGTCTTTAATCATAACATTATTATATTATCTGTGTGATCATTTTTGTTCCCCTTCTCCAAATCATGTCCTGTTTTGCTTCTTAAATATAACTGTAACTACTGTATGTGAATTTGTAGGTATTTGTTTTAATTTTGTAGGGTGGGTATAGTGGCTCATGCCTGCAAACCCAGCACTTTGGGAGGGCAAGGTGGGTGGGTCACTCGAGGTTAGAAGTTTGAGAGCAGCCTGGCCAACATTATGAAACCCTGTCTTTACTAACAATGCAAAAATTAGTTGGGCGTGGTGACGCATGCCTGTAATAACAGGTATTCAGATGGCTGAGGCACAAGAATCACCTGAACCTGGGAGACAGAGGCTGCAGTGAGCTGAGATTGGGCCACTGCACTCTAGCCTGGGCAACAGAGCAAGACTGTCTCAAAAAAAAAAAAAAATAGGAATCTTTGTCTTTTTATATTTGGACTTAATTTTCTCTTAAAATAATTTATTGGGCTATTGATAAATGCGCTTGAAAATTAATTTAGCTAGACTAATTTATAACTAACGTAACCAGATGTCTGTAAATTCAGTTGTTTAGATAAAATGTAATTTCTTAATGTACATTTAGTGCGAACGATGAATAAGTAACGAGACTATTTTTATTGCCTCCTAAATTGTGGAACTTCAGGCTACCACATAATACAGTTTATGACTTGTGACTGATAGGCTGAGTGATGGCTGAAATGTCAATACAGAAAAAATTTAGTAAACGTGAATTCTTTTTTAAAAAGATTCTTTTTTACTTTTGCTTTTTATTTCCAATTTTTTTCAAAGTAATTGAAATTTCCGGATGATTTCATCATTCTATGAGTCAAATACAGAAAAAATTTAGTAAACGTGAATTCTTTTTTGAAAAGATTAACAGTAATTGAAATTTCAGAATGATTTCATCATTCTATGAATCATCTTGTTTCTCCCCTCCCCCATTTGAATCCACTTTTCTATAGTACGGATATAAATTGTGAAACTATTTTTCTGTATCAAGGTTTATGTGTGTTCACGTCCTTTCTCTTTTGTCTCCTTTTTTCTTTCCCTTCCTCTCTTCCTCTTTTTCCCTCTTCCCCTCTTTTTTCTTCCCTTTTCCCCCTCTTATTCCAAATAATGCTGTTATCAGAAGAAGAAAGAAAAGTATAAGTATTTAT